GCTACCTCCTCCATTTCCACCAGTTCCTCCTGACCCCAATGACGAGGAGTACCCTGCATTCCCTGTGGTGCTTATGGATGCATCACATCCTGAATGTTGTTCTGACATGTTTTTAATCCCCCCACCACCTCCAGCTATGATTAAAGGCGTATTGCTTCCTCTCACCACAAATGTACCTCCCCCGCCTCCTGTAGTTGTTTGGGAGCCAGGCCCTCTCTTTCCTTTATGTCCAACAAGTATACGAATGATCTCATCTTTGGTCAAAATAAAGTTTCCGGTCAACTTGGCTCCTCTTCCTCCGTTCTGGACGACACTGTTCTTACCGTACCACCCTGCACCTCCTATTGCTTCTATTCTATATTCTCCAGTGTATGGCACAGTCCACAATTGAATACCGCTGGACACAGTAACTTGTCCGTCATGATCTTGCCCTGTATAGTGACTGCCAATTGAGCTTGGACCACCAGCTGCAGTCGAACCAAGGTTTGTAAAGACAGCTTTAAACTCTGGTTCAGGGTGGATAGACAAAAAATGAGTGAAGTATTATTGTTGTAGGCCATGTAGCTGCCTAACTGATAGCAAACATACCCTTGGCGCACTCCGAAATTCATGGGAGTATGTCCCCGGCAAATCCTACTTTGCAGAAGCAATTGTAAGAACCCTCAGTGTTGTTACACGTGGCGTCAGCATGGCATCCATGTAGACCTTTCTTGCATTCGTTGACATCTACGATAAGCATGATGACACTATCAGTTAGCCTCCGTTTTCATGATTGATAGCAAAAAATTGAGCCTTGAATTTACCTTGCTCACAGAAGTTTCCAGTCCACCCGGATGAGTTACAGGCACACGTGTAGTTCACGTGATGATTTGTGCACCTGGCATTGTTTTGGCACTGGTGTTGAATGCAGTAATCTGCGACTAGATGGGAAAAAATCTCTAAATGACACTTACTCACGCATTATCAAAGTCATCACGAAATATTTGTCTTCCTAACCTTCTGTTTTCATGTCACAGTGAGCTAGAATAGAGTTCCCAGACCTGGTGGAATCCAACCAGTAGGTACCGCTGACTGATTGTCCTCCTTCACTCGCCTTAATCTCTCGGCACGAATAGGCAGGCAGCTCAGGAATAGAGCCGAGAGGGACTGGAATTGAAGAAAGTATGAGAAACAATGATGAGTACCTCTTTAGATCCTTGAACGAGGTACTAATTTGAACTTTGAATAAAAATAAATTATTTCTAGTGTAAAGTTCTATTACTTCGTTTTGAGTTTCTCGCCATGTAGTATCTGTCTTTGTCTTTGACAAAGTCCTCAGGTCTGGCCTCTTTGGTCCGGCTGTTTAACTCACACTTTGAATTAAGTATAACGATGTTATAGCTTTGACAGCTTGTGAAGAAGTTA